GGAAAGCCCAGAACATCTCCAGCAAATTAGAGGCCTTCTCTGCAAAAAGATGAAAATGTCCAGGTGTGGCAGTGCCGTGCTACGTGCACTCACTCCATCACGGCGAGAACCGCCCAGCAAAACGCTGCTCGGAAGCTAAAAACGAGTCAAAACACTGAGGGACAGGGGGTAGGGAGAGGGCAACCTACGGAGACTCCAAACAATCACCATGATCCCTCTGCTCCTCCCCAAAAAACCCCAAACAGCTTTAGAAGTCCCAGGAAAAAAAAAAAAAATCAAGACCTACACTGAAATGGAACAAAATCAACATTAAAAAAGGTTTCCATTTCAGGAAGTTACACAGTCTGCCAATATTTGAGTTGGACACATGTTAAATAACTGTTTAAATTAAAATAAATCCACTGTTTTAGAAAAGCACTTCTACATTTAAGCTCTTCAGTTCAATTTTGCAGACATATTCTATTCCTTTACTTCTATGTTCATAGGAAATACAAAATGCCTTTGTCTCTACCTATCCAGCGCTGTGTTTAAGATCCGGACATTAATGACCCCTTGTCTTCCCAAAGGGATGGCACCACTTGTCAACCGGCAGTCGAGGAGGAGAGCCGGTAACTGCACGTCTTAACTCCGAGGGGCTACCACAGACTTCTGCAGCAAAGATTTAACAGGTCTCTATTCTCCGCTTCGAGAAAAACACTGAAGCATTTAGTTGTCCTGGAATACAAGATTAACGTTTTATTCTCAGTACTTCAAAGTTCCATTGAGAGATTTGTGGCCAGTGACAGTAGAATCTTTTAAAAGGAAGGGGGGGAAAAAAAAAGAAAGAAAAGAAAGAAAAAAACCCTTATCTTTTCAGTGGTCAGCAAAGAAAGTTTACCAGCAAGATGAATTGGAGTTAAATGCCACTTCCCTCATAGGAGCCCACTCACAGGCAGTATATTGCATTTTACATGTTTGCTTTCACCATGCTTTACAGCAAATAAATCCACTTAGCTGGAAGAACAGGTGTGTACCAGGTTGTGCTTCCCTTGCTGAAAAGCAGCAGCAAGGCTGGATAATGATAATCTAAATCTTCTGAAAGCTAAACTTGTCCCTAGTATGAAATAGAAATTCTTATTTGTATCACTATTTCACATTTCCCAGACAGCATAATCTAAGTTGTACTGTTAAGGTGTATATACAACTTAGAGTTTTCTCTCTAATTCAGAGAACATAATCCAAGAAATTTTTATTAAAGAACTTTTAAGTATTTCTAAAGGCACCAAGAACAAAAATCAGTTTCACTTGCAGCATTCAGACAATGCAACAACCCCCCGTGACCCTGTTAAACCACCCAGTATGGCTATGGCTACAACACACCTTTTTGCCCACCCTTTGCAGCTCATGAGCAAAGGCAGAATGAAAGAAATCACCTCAATCTTCAACTGAGTTTCAGACCTGATATTCTGGAACAAGCCGATGCCTCTAGTTATTCATTATCATCCACCAGCCCAATATTTTCCCCAGTTCTAGCTGCTGAAGGGACCAGCTAAGCTTTGGACAGGTTGTTTTCACTCCCCATGAGAGCCACCCCTTGGTTAAAACCTCTCACTCCAAGTGAAAGGGATTCGAGCAGCCTTGAGACGTTCGAACTGGCAAAGCCGTAGGAATCCGTGATCTCCAGGCACTAGGCTGCATTACTGGCTCGGCACAGCACTGGACCCAGCTATGTGGGATGGTGGCTAAGGTTTTCTATGCTAAAATACCCCTGGCTTCATCAAGATAAAAAACAAATAAAATCCCTCTTTTCAGTTCACCTGCAAAGCTTATCTCACTATGGGTACTGCTGCCCAAATGCATCCTGACTCAAAAAAAAAAAAAACCCACCACCAAACCAACACACATATCAATTGGCAACAAGTATTGATCATTTTTTAAGAAGCAAAAACATTTCTTTTTTTTTTTTTTAAAAGAAATCTACTCATGCTCAAATGTATCAGTTATTTTTAATTTAGAATTTTAATCATGAAACTGCAATATAAAATATGGTATCTATAAGAAGTGTGAACTTATCAGTGAGGATAATATCTTGGAACAATGAGGAATGAAAAGAGGAATCAGTAAATGAAGATTTAAATTAAATGGGAAGTGATTCTTCTCTAAAAATTAGGCATGTTTTTACTTTTATAAACATGTCACTTCAGACATCATGTTTTCATCAACAAGTTTTTAGAAATAAGAGGTAAATTCCACAGTACAAATAAGTTACATTTGTAATTTTACTCAGAATTTGAAAAATCTAAAATAAATAAATAAATAAAAAATCTTAATCGGCCTTTAGTAGAGCCAACAATTTTACAGGAGCAATAAAGGACTGTGCAAGCCAAGGATTTTCTAGCTGGACCTGTTCTTGCCCATAGATCAAGCACAGATTCACACAGCAAGTATGAGAACATTTCCTAGTGTGCGTTTTATCGGGATCAAGAGAGAATGCACAACTCTGCGCTCCAGAGCAGACTCCACAGAGCACACTGACTACATTAATCTTATTTTTAAAGATACATATTGATGATGTGGCTTCTTCTCTAACCATATGTATCAGTTTAAACTTACACAGGCTACACTCACATAGGAATGCCCTTACAGATACATGCATTAATTGCTTTAAAATGCACTTAAACTGGTGCAGTTAAAGAATGCTTTGGTTTAGCAGTGTAAATGATCGAATACTGCACAGAAGGGCAAACACCTGCTGAAATTTCAAACCATGCAGTGCAAGAATGAACACTTTTTGATGTCACTCTGCAGTAACCTACTAACTACGTCTGAAGTGGAAGGTAAATTACATTCCCATGCTTGTCTAGAACAAGCAAGCTAAATTTGAAGAGAACTCAGATTAAAGCAACACTGATATAACAAATTGAAGAAGGTGACATATGCTAGACTAAGGGCCTAACTTGACTTAATGGCAATCACTAAACAGAAAAATAAGTGTTAGAATATTGGACTGAACCTGGCAGTCCAAACTGCCCGCATAGCATCACGGTAAAAGCGTGATAATCCAAATGCTTCTCTTTTTCCTAGGCTCTTATAAAAAGGAATCGTAATCCTAACATTTTATAGATTGGCTCAGGTAATAAAGCATGCGATTTTCTGTCTTCCTCCTCACCCCCCCCCTCCAAAACCTATTTTATAAGCTCTATATCCTCCAATATCCATATTACCAGCCAGTTCTTAAAATTTTCCCCTGCTCTTGGTCTCAGTCATCCCCAAAGACGATGTTTATAACAGCAGCCTTTTACCATGGTGATACTGGCAAACTATACTGACGGCACACTCCCAAACACAGCTATAAAAACAAATTTCTGTAGTGGCCCAAAGCAAGCTACATAATAAGCTATACATTAACCCTGCTAGGATCCTGGAGGGATGCTATTC